TGCTCCCAGGACGGAAGAAAACGAGTGGGAAAATCGCCGGACGTGGCTGAGAGATGAGAATGAGCGCGAAGGGCGAGATGACAAGTACGCTTTCGATGCAAATGCACAGGATCTCGGGAAAGCCTTTTCGTACCCTCAGGACCTTGCTATTGTGAGGGGAGGATTCCAGTTTGGGAAAGTATATCGATTTGTCGCTTGGATGTATGACACCGTTAGCGAAGAGGAGCTGGAGGACATGAAGTCACGGTATTTTCGGCAGGACAGCTTGGAAGTTGTCCCGTATCCCCTCATAGTCGCTGAGGTTTTACCCACTAGGAGCAATTTCTTGCTACCACCTACCAAGCCTGTCAAGGAAGAATCTCGCCAGCCGCCGAAGAAAGTTCTACTGATCCCTAAATATACCGCAGTCACGCTCATCTCTCCGGTAGAGACTGAATATGTACTCCTACTACCCTCGGTCCTTCGTGCGCTATCTATGTCGCTTACTGTCCAGTCCATGCGGGACAGGATGTTCACTTCGTCGTCTCACCTTTATTCTATCCCATCGCAATTATTGACTGTCGCTATGACAGCCTCATCGTCTCAAGAATGTTACAATTACCAGCGCTTGGAGACTCTGGGAGATACAGTGCTGAAGTATCTAGTCAGCATACAGCTGCTCTCGGAACACCCCCTTTGGCACGAAGGATACCTGTCTCGACGAAAGGACCATGCCATTGCAAACGTTACATTGGCAAATGAGAATATATCTAGAGAAATGTTCAAGTGGATTGTTCGAGGTTGGTTTTTCCGCAATATGGCGTTGTCCTGCATTGACAGGGTTTTGCATTTAGATCGGTTGCTTGGGAAAAAGTGGAAACCTGCGTACATGCATTCTACCACACCGATCCACGAGAAGAAATCGGCTGAGGTGGCTGCGACCTTGTCCACGAAGAAAGAAGCGAAGAAAAATAAGGCGAAAAAAGTCGCGGGAGAGCTCTCTACAAAAGGTAAGCTCATTGTGCCATGTCACTTTATGTTCCAGTATATAACCACTCTCTTCAGTACTGGCGGATGTTGTCGAATCCACGATCGGCGCAGCGTATCTGCACGGAGGGCTCGAACTGGGCTATGAATGTGTGAAGTTCTTCGGTCTCGACCTTACATGGCAACCAACTATCGATCGCATTGGATCCTTGATTCAAAGGGTCAGTAGGATCGAACCCGAAGTCAGAAAGCGCATCGAATTGCCAGAGAGGACCATATCCCTAGTAGAATCCATGCTGGGCTACGAGTTTAGACATAAGCTCTTACTCCTTGAAGCCCTCACCCATCCGAGTCACCAACAGGACTTTGGCACGATCTCTTATGAGCGTATGGAATTCCTTGGAGACGCGGTGATGGACATGGTTGTTACGGACTATCTGTATCATGCCGAAGGCAAGGAGTACAGTCCCGGGCATATGCACCTTCGAAAATCTGCTGTCGTAAACGGACATATTCTTGCCTATCTGTGCTTGAAGTGTTGTGTGAAGATTCGCAGTTATATGCCTCGGCCCACAGGATCGGGGAGTGGGATCCAGCTTGAGGAGGAGGAGGACAACATATATCTATGGAAGTGCCTCTTACATGCGAGTCCTCGTGTTCTGGACGATCAGCATGTAACGTTTGAAAGGTTTCAGACACTTTCGGATGCGATTGCTGATGGTTTGGAGAATGGGAAGATCTATCCTTGGACAGCGCTGACTCGACTACAAGCGCCCAAGTTTTTCAGTGACATGATCGAAAGTGTCCTCGGCGCAGTATTCCTTGACTCGGAGGGAAACCTGGATAGGACACGAGACGTTATGCGAACGATCGGTGTCTTGCCGTTACTGGAACGCATCGTCAAGGACGACGTTGACGTTCTTCATCCCGTTTCGCGGCTATCGGTCTGGGCTTCAAAGCAGGGACAAAAGGTCAAATATATGTTTTCCGAAGAGAAGGAAAATATCAGTTGCGTGATAGAGTTGCATCAAGGGGAGGGAGGGGGTATCCGGGTATTGGAGGAAGCACGGGTGACGGATCGTAACAGAGGCAAGGTGACGAAGTTGGAGGTCAAATTTGCAGCGGCTGAAAAGGCCATAAAACTGCTTCGTGTATACTAGACACGAGTCTTTCCTATTCTACCGGATAAACTCTGCCTTTTCATGTGCCAAATATCATACACCAGTAGGACTCTAACGTCAAAAGAAGAGCTTCATTTTCGCTTCTCTCATCTGCATGCAAACGTCGACGTTCGCAAATCAACAGCGCATAGAGCAATAATACTCCTAGGTTGAGATAAACAAATGCGAAAGTTTTGTATCCAATTCCGTGGTTCTCCGGACTGAACGATGTGACATCCTATGCAAATCGACCGCTTAGAACGTGTTGGAATGACACGATGATAAGTATTGCTCACTACAAAAAACGACACGCGTCCAATTCTCCAGCGCGCGGATCCTTCCCTGATGAACATACGCGGAGCCGTATTACGAAGAGTCCAACGTCACCCCAGAAATGGATAGCCGTGGTGTCGTTTGCTCGCTCGCTAACAGGGATGTCATCTACTCGACCAAGTGATCTTTCTGATCTGGCCATGAGAGTGACGAGAGCACAGATGGGATTAGGATGCCAGCCATGGACCTCTCAGAGACATGTCCTCCTACAGTCGACCTCATCCTCACAAACGAAGAATCCTAGGGAGCCCGCAGAGAACATTGGAATCATTCGCCGACAAATGCGTGGTATACGTCAAAATGATGGAAATTCCGACAGCGCGCGGATGGGAGGAGAATCCCCCCTCCATTCGTGCATGTTTGGCTCGTCTTTCTTCATGAGGCAGGACCTCTAATACGCAGAACTGTATGACGACGACTGTCTCTGGCATTCTTCCAGAGGTAACTCGTCTCGGGGCAAGAGGCGAATGAGAAGTGTTGTACTTCGGGCTGCTGGCTAGACGGAACATGTTTGCAGATTCTCCGGCTAGGTGCCGAGTACGGAGGAAGGGGCTGCGGATAAGATAGGACGGTAGAGCGTCACCCGCACAGAAATGACTCTCTGCACGGACCGTCGAGGTATATCGAACTTGCCACCAAAAGGATATCGCGCGACAAGTGCCGTTACGTTATGACTGGGAGGCATGCTTGAATCATACTTCGGATACACCTAGCTGATGCGCATAAACGGAATGTCAAACGAGGGCCCGCAAATCGGTGGCGAGGCTGGGCATCGATGGTAGATCTTCTCCGGGTGCGGAAGGTAGCAGGGTGTCACAATAAACGCCCCTCGTCCTGTAAATGGGAGCGTGGCATGCAAACAGATCGAGGCATCAGAAGGGCTGATTGGCTTCCTTCTCTTCACAGTTACCACCAATGCTGTAGCCATCGAAGAAAACGATGCCGAAGTGGTTCATCTCTCGCGCTATCTGGACGTACGGCATCTAGGAACTGTGACCGCTGGGATAGCCCGACGATAATAAGGAGCAACATATGGAGATCGTTGGTTGGGATTAGAGAAGCGCCAAAAGTTCCTGTGGAGGAATGAATTAGAGGGCTTAGGCTCTGGTCCCGATAGTCTTTGATCCTTCCTTAATTGAGGGCGACGCGCTATCTTTTAATCCCAAAGTTAGCACACTTCAGGACAACACGGCGATAGAGCTCACTGTAAGGTCCTGAGCACACGGCTAGTAAGCGCCCTAGATTCTGATATCATACGCGGAGCGGGAACATCTATAGAGTGAGGTTGATTAAGTCCCTGAAGAGAAGAAAGACGGCACAATAAGGAAACTCACCTCGGAACTTTGCGCCTGCTTTTCGAAGCTAGCCGGAAGCCATAAACGAAGGTCCAGATGTAGTCATCCAGCCGTGCATCATGCTCTGAGGGGCAGGGAGATAGCAAACAACGATAGGCGAGACAGGTACAGGAAGGTAAGTGGTCGATGGTGGCCAGCCAAACTCGATGGTTCCACAGTTATTACGGAAATCCCTCCATTGCAAGACCTTGGGTTATCCCGCATCACTTGAGGCGTTCGTACCCATTCCTCCTGCGCTGATGGTTGCTGTAGCGGCAGTCCAGACTGTCTATTGCTGTCCTGAAAAATGCATCAAAGGAGGGCGAGACGAAGGATGGTCCGCGACGAAAGCCCCGCTCGTAGGTAATAAAGGGTCCGGGAAAATCGCCTTTGGTACACAATCGCACGAGTTTGTCGTGATCTGGCGGTACTGAGAAAAAGCATGCGGAACACAGCGACAAAGACTCACCTGGCATTCATATTGTCTCCTCAAATTCGAAACTGCACTACCTGCTGCGGGGGTCCAATGTTACTGCTCCAACCGTCTTTGCCTGTAAGACATCTTCAAACCTGGGCGCTTGGGCCTGAAGCGCGCCGTCTGAATTCGGACAAGCAGATGTCCCGTGGCAATCTCCAGTGTATCCGCTCGAACACTAATCCACCCATTCGTACAATCCCTCACCAGCGCTAATCGTCACTGTAGCAGCAGTATCCTGGCTGTCTATCCCTGCCCAGCTATTCACAAAAACGCGCCAAAGGAGATAGGGAAAACTGTGACCGCAGTCAGAAACGCGACTGGATGACAAGGAGGCGCGTTACGGCAACGACGGGAAATCGCCTTTGGTATAAGTCGGATGGCATGTGGTCTGGCGGTGCGAATGAGCTCTAATCCTGTCAGAGTCGTTGGAATTTCAGGTACCTTGTACCATTCTACCAGTACACACCAGAGTCCTTTCTACATATCCAGGCCACCTTCGCATACGAATCCACGTCCCTTCGTTTCGCCGTGAGATATCAGGAAAGAAAACTCGCAAGGGCTGACATCTTGAATTCGAAATGCGGGTTGCTTTCTCGGCCCTCCTTTTGATGGAACGTCTGATGTTGCTGTTGCTGAGGAGAGCCGCGTCGTGTTGAGCTGTTAAGCGAACACAGTGGATTAGGCCAAATATATGTGGATCAGGATTACATTCACACAACATCGATATGTTCTCTGGTAGTATATTGGTTAGTACACGCGCCTGTCATGGTGTTGAGAAATTCGATACGCGCGAAAGCTGGGTTCGACTCCCAGCCAGAGAGTGACCAAGGGGGTGGTTTGACTCTATTTTGTTCCCAGGTGGCAGTACTGTCTACTAAGTAGATACGTCGCGTCGACGGTCGCACGACAGTGGTCACACATTTGTAGCTTAGAACTGAGTACTGATTCTTGAATCCTGATATTATGAAATAATGAAAGCCGCAGTGCGCACCAAGTCAAGCCATGGATACGAAGAAACCAGCTAAATTAAATGTACAGGGTGGTCAATACCCTACGAACAGAGTAACTCCAGAAGGCGCGAGTGACATTAGCGAGAACCAGTACTCGGTCCTACTCAAACATACCTGAATGATCACCTATTCGTGCGCGACGTAAACCTCGTCGTGAGGAATACGGTGCATATGGGAGTGGTGGCGGTGGAGATGGAAAAATCTATGTCATGGTGTTAAAGGGATTGGAAGAGGGTTCGAACTGGCGCTGTAGTATAGCATGCAAGGTCAAAGTTACACGTATCCGAAGAGGAAATGTTCAAAGGGAAGTCCCGACTCGATGAAGGACCGGAAGACGAAGGGGATGTTACGACAATGGTGTACCGCATGGATAGAGGGCACGCTGAGATCGCGGGTTATGCAGGTGTAGATGTTGGTGGTGAGGATTTCGCTAACTGATGAGTTATGCAACATGTCGTCGTCGACAGAGTAGCCAACCTTCCATCCGCTGCGGACGATGCCCATTCCAACCAATTACGATGACACAGAGGGGGGGGAAGAGGGAAGAGATATCGCCAATGGCCCTCACTGGTGCAGGTCATCCGCGAGCAAGAGGGCAGGCTGGTAGCTGAGAAGGATTCATGGAATATTCACCCATCTTGACTCGCATGATGGATTCGGCAGTCATCAAAGCACCATACTCGGCACATCGAGATGCTCAGAGCGGCACGAAATGTGGGATGGACTTGCCGGCGGTGATATCCTTGGATGGGATGGGGCACGACGTCACTCATGAATGAACACCGCGTTTGGGGAGAGAGGTGCCAAAGCACCCTGCGGACCAATAGATCGGTCCGTCTTGGATCTCCCTATCGAGGGCAGCGCGACATCCTGGGATCCTATGATTATTACATTTCAGAACGACGCGGTGACAGAGCTCGCTGCTCACCCTGAGATCCAGTCTCCGGCGCACGGTTCGTTCCCTTCACATCCAACCCTATACGACGCGGGAGCAGGACGATCAGGGGAAGCGCGTACCAGAGTGATTTTTACTTTCCCTGGTCGCATTCAAAGTGCGAACACCCCATCATGCCGCCCTCGAGCTCGCCTGGTCCATGATCTGCCTCTACAGAGCGTCTACCGAAGCTCGTTAGGTCACTGATAAAAGGTGGAATAGTAAGGAACTTTCACCTCATCAACCGGACCAGCGAATCCGGGGGCAGAGAGACATGAGAGAGATGGGCGAGGTAGGATACAAGGTATCACACGAGAAGAAAGTGGTAGTTGATGGTGAGGCGCGCAAGACAAGACTCCCAATACTCGATGAGGATCCCTCTATTGCAGGGCCCAGCGCAGATAGACCCTGTCGTTCGCCGTACAAGCGATACCTCCACATCTGTTCCAGCTTGGATCCCGGCTGTTCATCGTCGCACCGCTGGTGACCATAGGAGAGCAACATTATTGGAATATCCGCTGTCGGAAACACGGTTGGATGAGCGCGTGCTGTGATGAGGTGTCTGCGAAATCGCTTCCTGGTACGGATTTGGTAGGTCTGGTAGTACGCAAATGAGTGCTGATTTCGTTGCCGTCGTCTGAAATGACGCACCTTCGCTGTCGTGACCATCCGCCTCTCATACGCGCAAGCTTCCCTGCTACATATCCAGCCGAGTTTTGGTGTAGGCAGCATATACCCACTGTCACTCATTGTCACCAACCGGCGGCTAGCGTCAATCGACCTCGTAATTCTACCAGTCATCAGTTGTCGCTACAAGAGTAGAGTTGGCGGTATGTGCTCACCTTGAACGTCATGTCCGATGTAACATTCACTGCGAAAAAGGAAACATTGAGAGTGACGGTGGAGAAGCTATATTGCCTAAGAGCGGACTTCATTCCCTTCATAGTGCTGTCGTCCCACCTGGACACAGCATTTTGCTATCGTCCGCCATATGGGTAAAGGCGGCGGCGCATGGGGTACGTTCTCCGCTAAACTTGTGGATAATTGCAAAGACACGTTCGAGAATCCGCCTTCGATGTCCTTGTATGCGCCATATAGCATGTCCTGGCGCGGATCTATCATAAACATCTGACAAGCAAGCCTCCTTGATACCAGCCGGAGACAAGCAGCCTTTTGTCATGCGCGCGAGAACACCGACGATCTTGAAGAAAATACCGGCATCTCAACGAAGAATCGCACGACGCTCGGCATTGACATCAAGACAGTCATCTGGATTGCGCATGGAAGGTATGGGTAGCGGAACTGGTGCCCTTCTCGCACGACAGATGCTTTGGGGCTCCTCGTAAAAATTTCCTAGCTGGCATACTTTATAGGATGGGTTTTCTGGGACCTATTGAGCTCATCAGAATTGCACGACCAAACACCCAAAGCGATACTAACCATTGTTGGAGATACCCAGCTGATCTATCATCTCTAAAACGTAAACTCCAGCCTCTTCGCAGCGGTCCCCTCTCCAAAAGGCACGTCTAGTACGTTCCATAGGCACCCTGAATCATCAACACCTTGTTACCTCCATCTGCAAGATACATCAGGGCATGTAGAAATGAGAAAAAGAGAGTAGACTCACCAGCTCTTAGAGAGAAATCCGACCGCAGTCCGCCCATAACAATCTGTGAATGAGCTCCCCACAGAAGTGTTGTCGATCAGTTCGGTAGCGGAATTTGTATCCAGATGTGTTCGGCTCGTTGGACTCTCCTACGTCACCAGTTGTTCGAAAGTGAATCATCGATGATGGTGGTTTATAGACAGCGAAAATCTAGGAGATGTTTGTTCTGATGAGAGGAGAGTGCAGTGATTGGGTGTCCAGCGTATGACTCGCGACATGGCGCGGACGATTCGAGTCGATGACTAGCTAGAATCCCCGTATAACGTTCCACGGCCACCGATCTCTGACTTGAAGATTGTACGGTCGCTGCAAGCGATGCCTTCCCCGCCTATGGATCCAGCTGCGGCCTGACTGGAACATCAATGAGCTCTAACTGTGTTATACTTGCCAGAGTTTCACGCACCTTGCACCGTAACCCGCTGGCATCTATGAGCTCAAGCCATTCACTGACTTGCATGTGAGCCTCTCGCCTCTATGAGTCCACGCTTCGCGTCCGGTATGGTCCGGTATGCGGGTGTTGCGTCTGTTGGGTGGTGGGAGTAAAAGAGTCCTCTTGACATCGTGTGCGCGTATTCTATGCAGCAGTAGGCCCCGGCCCTACGACAAACTATAGCCTCGTGTCAGCAGATGTACAGGAAATGAATATCGAAAAAACAACCGAACCAGATGGAATCGCATGGCAAGCGGCAGAGGTATGTATTACTTTGGCATGCGCGGCCAGTAACCGAGTCAGCCAAAAGCTGGATTATTACTTGATCAGTGTTTCGTAGGAGAATCGTCGCTCGCGTTTGGGAGTGTTGAAGGAGCAAAGAGTCGACACGTGAAGGGGAACGGTCGAAGAAGGATTACCTCGTGCCACGTGCCTGACGCGTCTTGAAATAGACGCCCAGCCGATATTCTCCCCTTTGGCAGCTTACCTCATTGCTTTGACTTCTCGTGCGATGTAGAATGGCTTGCTTGATTTTGATCTATCTCGGATATTGAGCGCCGCATAAACGACTTGTTCTTGTTAAGGAACTCAACGGTTCTAGTTTTCTCGCAGCAACAGTACGCGAATACCTTTTGTTCTGGACTGATACCTTTGATCTGGCAGTTTTCGCGCCCTCTGGATTGACTGAAGATGACAGATTGTGTCGAGAATGAACGCCACGGGGTATAACTCTCCCGTGCGACTCGTTAGCTCTGCTGCACGGCGAGCCTTCGTAGGATGACGTATTCGCGTATATACCTTGATTTTCCTCCAATTTATGGTACCGTGCCTTGTGTCAATGACAGGACTTAATTATGCCGCGAGCTCCTGTGAGTCTGTATCGTTTTTCGCTCTTCGAATGGAATTGACTAGATAGTTTAGTTTGATTGGACTATTGACTGTGAGTGCCATTCAACTTGATTTACGGTGTGCATACGTTCAATACGAGCTCCAGTAACACTTAGCACTCCTCTGGCAAGGCGTTCCAAGCGTCCGAAGGTCCGGACTTGTCTGATTTCGCTGCGCTTGGCATGTTCCAAGAATAAAGGTAACAATGTAATTGCAAACAAGGAAGGTGTGTAAATTCAATGATTCAACACGCTCAGGTCTTTGACGTACCTTGTACTCAGGGACATATTAAAGCCACGGTATCAATATTCGGGCGACCAAACGGATACGACGTCCCCACGACAAACCCTGACGACGAAGATCCAAATGTTCGGTTTCGAGGTCAAGTTCAATATCGATTCGTCCGTGAATTACACCCGCTTTCAGACGCATACTAATGTCCTGGGTGTGTCGTACACGTCAAAAGTGTGTTCTATGTTCTTATTTTCCCCTCAAGCGGCGTCTAATTGCCTCCGATTTTAGCCTAAACATTGAACACCCAGGAGCATACCCATGACGCTCGCCTACTAAACCTGGGTTGATATAATGCGACCATCAAAATGAGTGTTCACCCTTCTTGTAAGTTCCTCTCGCTTTTCCGCTGAAGTTTTGACATATTTGAATAGATTGCATCTTAACACACATTCTGTGTACACGAATAAGCCCTTGCTCTCCTGTAAATGCTCACAACAGCCTTCTAGATGAAAATAATCAAATCCGACATCGACTTGACCAGCTATCTGTCCTCTCAGATGGCTTAGACTTTGTTTTCAAAACTTCCGAGTTTGAAGTCAGGCGTACAATATCCCAATGCCGGTATCCTGTTGTACCGAGGAAACGGTAGCCAGGAAATA